GACGGAGTGGAGTAGAGAGAGAGCCGCAAGAGACCCACAGACCGATTGATGACAAGGGCGAAGGGTCGACAGACGATTCATTTAGCGGCCTGGAAGGCAAGCCGTTTGATAGGAAACGGATCACGGGCGTCTAAATACAAGATCTCGCAGTCCCAGACACGACGTCCACGCCCTGCCAGGACCTGACACGACCGGACATTTGTCGATTCTCACTGGGCATAAGCCCCCGAGTATGCAGTCACCACCTGCACGATTTTCCTGGCTCGACCTTTCGATGTGCCGCAGAGCGCGAGGTTGTGCCAGCCACGGCGCACAGCGTACTGTTCATCAGACAGACTTCAGAGCATGTTTATACGGTATCCAGTAGATCGCTGCCGCGGTGGTAGGCTACAAGCACGTTGCATTTCCGTTTAGCCCCTATCGGCACTACATCCGATGCACTCTGTATCCATCCAGCCTGCAGATTACTCCTCACACTCCGGGCACGTCGTCCAACAGCCTAACAGGCTGAGGGAGACTAGCCTGGTGCATAAGAAGGTGTCCACGGGCACGGAACTCTAGGCGTTATGCCGACCGTATTGGGCTCGTGCTCATGGCCGTGTAGCGAAAGTCAAAGCGGAATTTGCTGCTGAGTACTTTAAACGTGGCTGTCCTGGTGCTACTAGAGGGACTTGTGACCACCGCGCCTGTGGTGCCCAGAGCTGCTCTCGCTTGCTCCGTCGCTCTCGCTCGACGCGGTCAGCGCTCGTGGGCCGGCGATCTCCACCATGCCCTCAAGGCACTCCCGGTCCCAGTGCAGTGGGACTGCCGAGCAACACCTACCGTCGACCGGGTGCGCGACGCGCGAAAGCGTGTTCTCGAGTCGCTACTCCAGTGTGCACAGGCTTGCATCTCCGGGTCGACAAAGCTTGCCCTCTGGAAGTGGGGTGTCATGCCAGCCATTGCTCGGAGGCCGACACTTGATGACCTCTTCAAGCTCCGCCCGTACACTGCGATAGCCCGCATCTCACATCGCCGGAACGTCGCCCGCTTGCTCGCAGGAGTCCCTCCGTACGCCATCGAGACAATGAGACGCCACCACGTGCCCCGGGAATGGCGAATCTGCCGCTTTTGCCAGGCAAGGGGCGCCGTGGAGGACGAGTCACACATTCTATTCTCCTGCCCCGATCCCGCTCTCGTCGCTGCTAGAGAGTTATATTTCGTGGACATTCTAGCGGAGCGACCGTCGGCACTGCACATTCGCCGCCGTGTTTCCGACTGGGCTTTCCTCGCGATGACACTCATGGACGAGCACTTGGTCACCACTGCCGCGGCGTTCGTACACTCCACCTTCGAGATCTGCAAGGCTACGCCCCCATACGAGATCTTGACGGATGAGGACTGGGCCGGGGTGCCGGAGGCGGTGTAATTGCTCGAGGCGGACCGAATGCAATGGCGTGTGGACACCATGCTTGTGGGCTACGGGCTGACCTGTATTTGCTCCTCCATAGAATGTATAATTATTGTGGTTCATTGAACGATGAAACATCGCACACCAGAGCTCTGGGTACAGTACACGCGGTGATGGCTTCGACATGCACGGAGAACCGTGCTGCCATCCTCTCTACGTTGGTTTTCCTGGATGGGTTTTACAACGAGAGCGCGGGGCTGGAACCCTATACCTGTCAGGTTGTCTTGGTAGTAGGCTGAAGATGGGACATGTGCTCTCTCGGGCCTGGGCGAGTTACGTCACGGCGCACAGGAGTGCGCAGTGGCTCCTGGGGTTTTTACATTTTTTACCCAGGTTTTAGCCCAGGTAAGGCCGGCCTCTTGAGGTTTAACGGCGCCTGCTTGTTCCGCCTGCGGAATAAAAGCCAGAGATTTGAGCTGGTTTGTAGTCAACGGTCTATGGATAGATAGCTAACGAAGGTATCGGGAGCATCCATTGTGAGGTGCAACGTTGGAATTGATGACCCCCGGATGTCGAGTCGTATACGAACTGAGGGAGCGATCGTTTAACTTGTATGTTGTATTACTGTAGTTCCCACGGTTAGGAGGATGTACGCGACCTACGATTCCAAAATACCACCCACTCAC